GGTCCGGGAAATCTGTCGCTGGTCTCAGCGGGATGCAGGTGTCTATAGCAGTCCAATTCCGAAAGATAAGCTTGTAGTCCCTCGGTATCTCCCCCCCTGCCACCCCTCCCTCCCTCCTCAAGGGGGTTATCCCCTGACCAGGCTGCCCTTGCCATCCATCCCACCCTCCTTCCTCCCAACCAGTTTTCGCAGAACCAAGTGATTATTCCGACAATGTCTTTCCTGGTATGCACAAAACTCGTTCGTTGTCTGGATGACTGCCACTGGTTTGTGATCTCTGCTTGTACTAGTTGCCTGACCGCCTCGGTTACCTCCCCCTCCCGTGCACCCTCGATTTGCACCCTCGATTTCCAGGATACACCTTCTCCACCATATCACCCAATGAACTGCTCGTCTGCCTACCTACCCGAAAGAGGTTTCTCGTCAGTCGGTCATCCGAACGTTGTGGCCAGTGGCCCGTTGGTAATGCTCTCCAATCCTATGGCCAGCCAGTGCAGGGGACTGTCTGCCGCCATATCCTGTCCCACCAACGCCACAGTAATACTGATGAAGGGCACTGTAGAAAGCGGTGCTCGATTGTCTCGATTCTTTTTCGCGGGGGGTAGATCTGCAGACATCTTGTGCACCAAGGCAGCACCCTTCCTTGTCGTTCTAACCTAGTGTGATCAATCAACCAGTCATTGGTCGGAAGGCATTGGCGGGCCACCTGCCCCACTGTTGCGACGAGATCTTGGCCGGCCGCAGTTTGGATTCACAAAACCATTTGACAGGTCGCAAGACGCTTCGATCAATATCGAGATGACGCTGCCACCTGTCGCAAACTGTGTCCCGCAGCTCCCTTTTGGGTCTCAGCATACGATAAGCCGTTTTGACCTTCATACCTGTGAGATTCAAGGGTCGTTGTGCATTCCTTGCCCTCCCCCCCCCCTCTCCTCTCCCACCCCAGTTCCACAGCCATTCCCCTGGGTGATGGGCAGGTCTTCTATTGGTGCCATTGGTGTGAAGGCTTTCCATTCCCCCCCGATCTGCGTAACTCTGAGATACGAAATACCTCTATTTTGGGGGTCCAGGAGAAAGGCTGTCTACTCCCTGTCAGGACATCCTCCCTCCCCGACCGATATTTCTCAATCACCACGTCATTGCCACCCACCGTGTGCACCATCCCGACTGAACCCGGGTCCCTAGGGAGTCCCACCCAATCTCTTTCCTTCAATATGGGACCCCTTTTTTAAAAAAATAGGGTACCACGCCAGCCGGAAGCTTTCAATCAGTTCTTCCAACACTTCTTCCGTATGAGGGGGTGCCTTAGTCTGATTCTATTGTTTTCTTTTTTGATCTTCTGTCCATGGTTGTGTCCCATCGGCTAGCTCAGTAGGTTTGATGCCCGAGCGGCACCGCATAGGTGCTGGGTTCTATTCTCGTCGCCGTCACTTTCCGAAACTGACGCCACTAAGGCCTCAGAGGCCTGAGGAGGACCGGTGGCCACGGCCAGTCAACGCTGGTAACCCCCTGGCCGGGGCAAGTTGTGTCGCGCTGTGACCCGCATAGCAACGTGGAGGCATCGGGCCAGATGGAAGTGGCTGGCTGTGCACAGGTCCTGCTATGGCCAGCCGGGACACACCCAATACACATCCAATAAAAAGAGCCCTCAGGTTGAGTTCTCAGTCAGTACATATCATCATAGAAGCTGATATTCATGTCCTTCGGGACATCTGTTAAAATTGGAACGATACAGAGAAAGAAGATTAGCATGCCCCGTGCGCAAGGATGACACGCATAAATCGAGAAATGGTCCAAATTGTTTTCAAAAAAAAAAAAAAAAAAAAGGAGGCACCAGTCACCCAACCCTCTCGGCCCTGACCTCGATCGTTCCCCACGGCCATGAGACTGGGATGTGTGGTGGGCGGGAAGAGGGTGTGGGGATACACCTAATCCTACTCAAACAAGGAGGCACCAGTGCGCCACGTGGCCAAACACAAGGAGTTGCCACGTGGCAAAACGTAGTTTATTACAAAAATCACCATATCCCCCTGCACTCATAATCTGAGGATGAGCTAAGCCCTCTCTCCACATCACAAGGAAAGCAGGTATTCAATTTCTGGAACACGTTCATATCAAATTACCTGGGGGGTGTCGATGCAATGAAAGTGCTGCCCACCCTACCCCTTCCCGCCACCATCCCTCCCCCCGCATCCCCACACCCTCTTCCTGCCCACCACACATCCCAGTCACCCAACCCTCTCGGCCCTGACCTCGATCGTTCCCCACAGCCATGAGAGAGAAGGGGATAGAAAGAGAAGAGAGTGGAGAGAGAAACAGGTGAATCACACTTACTCCCCCACAAATATCGTCACCATGTTTGATGCTGTTGCAAGTTTTATTTTTGCATGACATGTAATTGTTGTTGCTTTGGGATGCAGCAAATGGAAAATGATTTAGTGCTTGCAGTCTGCTTGGTCAACGTTTTTTTTTTTTTTTTTTTTTTTTTAGCCCCAGATTCGTTTCATTATTATACAAAGCCGGCAACCGGGCCCGGCATCCCTTACAAAAGTGAACATAGGCCCTCAAGGAGACGCAGGCATCATCAGCCTGGTTCTGTTTGAGTGACCAGAGTTACTCAAAGGGGACCAAATAATTGGTCGACTTTAGCATGCATAAAACAGGGCAGTGCTACTGGGATCGAGCCCTGAGATCTGCATCTGCCCTACTGCAAAGGTGAAAACCGTTTCACCAGGAACTTTCCATGGCTTTTTTTGCATCGCCTGGCCACCTGGGCAAGGCCAGTGACGCGGTGGGCGGCCCGGCCCGGTTGGTAACAACAGATGAGATAACGATAATCATAGTGATTTCCTTTCAAGCGACAGACGGATTAAACGGAATAATATTTCCAGCACCACAGTCGATGCGAGTACAATTTCTTGCTCATGCCGCACTTCCAAGCGTCCTCCTAACCCAAAATTTCTGGCCATATACAGGCGGAGGCCACGGACATCTTTCCCCACATGATACACACACGAAGGCGCTGCCCAGCACCTCGCGCACATCGACTCGCTACCGCGAATGAACCTCTAGCAGTGGTTATCAGACGCTGTCACACATTGCCCACTCCCGTCTTCACCGGAATGGAACAGGACGACCGGGCATTATCGCTGAATGTAGACTGAAAGTTGCACCACATCCAGCCATAATGCAATGGCCAGGCATTCTATTCACGGGTGAAGACGGTACCAACCACGCATTACTAATAACTTGCTACTACGCACTGAGAACGCCAAACATTTACTTGTCCTTCAACAAGAAAAAAAAAAAAAAAGATGCAAGCATCAACAGCCAAGTACTGATGACAGGCCATGAAACTATTCAGCACAATCTAAATGTCACTGCATGTGGGCGTACGGCAAATCAGAGACAATTTCAAAGCAATGGCACGATCGGCACCTTAAAAAATCAGCGGTTTCAAATGGCGTCTTTTTTTTTGTAAATACTTTTAGATGACTGGCTCTGGCATTAAAAAAAAAAGAAAAAAAAAAGAAAAAAAAAAGAGGAATTCTCTGGAGCCCCCTTCAAAATTGCACAAAACTTCACACACCAAACAACTCGCTGCACAAACAACAAAAAACAAATGGCTCTGTATCTTACCATGTTCTCGCAGAAGATTCATTCTCAGTTTTGAACATTCGGTGAAAAGTGCGCATTCTTGCTCTGTCATGCATATGGGAAATCACGCTGCACGCTGCTGCAGTCTAAAATACTGATTCTTCGTCAGGACCATGCGATTCTGCCGTGGGACACATTGCAGAATCACATACAACTCGGACCGTGCAGCAGAAACCCTCGAAGAGACAGAAATACAATTGAGCCTCGATACTCTAACACAAAATTTGTAAGGGCAAAATTGCAAAATCAGCGGCCAGATACAGGACTCCTTTTACAAGGAGATCTGACCGGTGATTTTGCTATTCTGCAATTTTGAGGGCCTAGTGTGAGTTCGCCCTAAATGTATCCCAAGTTTCTCAACTGGATTGTTATCCAGATACATTCGGACTGGCTCAACATTCTGAATGTATTGGGACAATTACAACACCTAGATACATTTAGAATGTTGTATAGTGGAGCAATGCACATCGTCTCCAAGTTGGCACCGATACGGTTCCCAAACAGACGGTGACACTTAGAGCATACTCAGAAGAGAAAAGGGGAGTTGTGTATCCCGAAATGGAATGAGCGAGAATGGAGGGAGTTATTACTTATTAGCCTAATATTAGGTTGTTAGTTAAAAAAAAATCAAAATTGTAAAGTGTCATTTGATCTCTGACCACTGGTCTAAGGGCATACTCACCCTACGCCCTCGAGATCTCAAACTCGCAAAATCACAAAATGTGCCACCAGATCGAGTCCTAGTGTGAGTCTGCCTCGATCTGGCCACATTGAGATTAGATCTGGCCGCTCATTTTGGGATTTTGCGATTTTGAGGGCCTAGTGTGAGTGTGCCCTCAGACTAGGCCCTCAAGATCTCAGAATAGCAAAAATCAGCGGCCAGATTGCGTCCGTCCTTTTGGAAGGACTACTAGGATCTGAACGATGATTTTGCGATTCTGAGATCTTGAGGGCGTAGTGTGAGTATGCCCTTAGACCAGTGTTCAGAGATCAAATGACATTTTATTTTATTTTATTTTATTTAACTAATAACTCACTCCATTCTCGCTCATTCCATTTCCGCATCCACAACTCCCCTCTTCTCTTCACACACACGATGGCGTCGCCAACCCTCTCTCTCTCTCTCTCTCTCTCTCTCTCTCTCTCTCTCTCTCTTACATTGAGCCCTTCAACCACATGCGTCACTTCTTGTGAAAGTATTTGCAAATGGATATCCTCTCTCTTCATCTCCTTGCTGCCCAAGTACGACAAAAGAGATGTGCATGCAGAGAGGCTAAGCAAGATTCCGAGATGAGGTGCGGCACCCATATTCTCTTTACAGTGGCTTACACAAGTTGAAGGGCACGCAACTGCTTCGTTGATTTCATCACGACAGTGGAACATCTGCCGCTTTGACGGCAAGCACAACCACAAATCTTCTGAGAGAATGAAACAGCGACTCTGGTCGACGAAGCATCCATCTGCACATGGAAGAGCACATCCAAAAACTACCCGATGCAACCAACTTTTAACAATGACCACACACACACACACACACACACACACACACACACACACACACACACACACACATGACCACACACACACACACACACACACACACACACACACACACACGCGCGTGCAGAACAAAAATGCTCAACTGTGCTCTCAAAGCAGCACAATTGCGAAGTATACGGAAAGAAATTCACGGAATATGAATTGGACTCAACTTGGCACCGAAACTAATCGAACCGGCATATTAAGGGAGTATAATCTCTCACACGAACGAAACCAAAACGACAAACTCTCACTCTGCAGAAGGATCGACTGCGCTTGCTCTACATCCACGGAGAAATATTCGCTAACAAAGACTGAGCGCGGAAAAGAGAATAACATCTACACCATGTATAACCTCAAATCGCTGTGTGTGACGTACCTCTATCCTGCCTGCATCACCAATGCAGAGGTGAGCAGAGGGCCCTAATGCAGTACTGCATCACTGGGATCGATCCGGACGCATCTGGACGCTTTCACAAAAAGGGAAGTAAGTCTGAATCTCAACCGTACAATGACTTACAGTCGCAGGGTTCACACGATTGACCAGAGAAGCAGTCACGACAACACCTGCTCTTTCTCGACCTCCTCCTCGATCACCTCCTCGCTTGAGACATCGTCCACTGCATCAACATGATCCTCCACATCTGGTTTCTCAATAGCCGCCACCATTCGCTTTTGTTGCCTCAACAAGGGTGACTTTTCCAAAGGAAGCAGCATTCCTGCAAGAGAACAGCAATCACCAGCAATGAACACACATGTCACTTCCCAAACCTGGTCAGGACTTATAGGTCACGAAAGACTCACAAAAGTTTTACGTCACAAAAGACTCACAAAAGTTTTAGGTCACAAAAGACTCACTAAAGTTTTACGTCACAAAAGACTCGCAAAAGTTTTACATCACAAAAGACTCACCAAAGTGTTAGGTCACAAAAGATTCACAAAAGACTCACAAATAGAAAATTCACTTGTGGTTTGACGAGGTTCTCGTACACAGATTTCCTGGGCAAGGGTGGTGGGTACATCCCGCCCACCGAGCCCAGCCATGTTCCGTTGAATGCCGTCCCACGGAACTCTGGAAGCCTAGCTGCAACAACACCTGCCATCTTTTCCCACAATGGATCGAGGCACGAATCGTCAACGTATCTGGCTCAGATCTTTTTTCTTCATACTCCTCTGAAGGAAGGTACTCAAGCAGTCACCTCCTTTCCATCATCCTTTCGAGTTATGATAACCTCAAACTTCTTTCTTTCTTTTTTCCTTTTTTTCTTTTCTCGTCTTTCACTTTTCAAGGGTGCTGGCCTTGAGATATCATCTCAGGACCGACCGGGCCCAGGTAAATTCACAGTTACTTTGACTCATCCGATTGCATCTGGATTTGAACGCTGGTCTGCTTTTCAACAGTTCATGGGTTTCAACTGAGCTAGGTCACCGCAGCATTCACTCTTTCGATTGGAATGGAGGTAGTGAACTGACGAGTGCACAGAGGAATGGGCACTTGAGACGAGTTCTGTCAAGCAGCAGAGACGGCCTTGAGATATCATCATCGAACTGACCGTCCCATGGGTTCTGCTCATCTGATTGCATCTGGATTTGAACTCGGGTCTGTTTTTTAACACTTCATAGCAGGGTTGCCACCCCCCGGCACCGGACCCCCGGCCGGGGTCCAGAGGCGCCAGGGGTGGGACCCCCAACCCCGGTGGGCCGGGAGTGAAAAACAACGAAGAAAAAAAAAAAACATGGCGGGGTGCACAGCAGCAATACGCTTCATTTGAGCCTATGTTCGTTTTTGCCATTTTGGGGGTGCCTTGTGGTCTGGCGGGGGCAGGGCCGCAGACGTGCCTGGGTTGGTAGGTGCCGGGGGCAGGTTCGCTCCAGGGGTGGGGGCTGCCGATGCTGGGGGTCCGTGTTGTGCTGGGGCGGGGGTCGGTGGTAGGGGTGCTGGGGTCCAGGGGCGGGGGTGTCAGGGTCTCTCTCTCTCTCTCTCGCGTGCGCGCCCCTGTACAGCCTCAGTTATCCAATCCACATTTTCTCGGTATCTCATCTTTGCTGACAGACTCAGGGGGCAACATCCAATCCCTTCATTGTGAGGTAGCTATGATTGCAGAGGTCCCCTGTACAGCCTTAGTAGTGATAGGTAGGTAGTGAAAGGTGAATCTGACAGAAGAATATAGCCTAGTAAAAAAACAATAAAATCAACAAATTCTGAATAAAAAACAGAAGTACAAGGAATATGAGTGAGATCGATAGACAGAAATCGAAGTTGCAAAATCACGAGGTAGTCCAGACACTCATGTACCAAGCAGAGAGCACAATGCACCAAGATACCATCCACTAAAGAGCAATACAATGAACTCGAGTGCCAATGCCGACGCTTTCTGGTCACACCAACACTGTATCCAATGTCGTTCCTACTGTCTAGCGCACGAGGGGGAGGGGGCGGGGGGGGGGGGGGGGGAGTGAAGGGGAAAAGAGAGGGGGGGAGGGGGCAGAAGGGCGAGGAAGCTCAGAAAGCCAAAGAGAAACCAAAAGCATGACAGTCCAAAACAATCCACCACCCACCGCAATCCCCCTCTGTACTCTATCAGACAAGCTGCATCAGAGTAAGAAGACGGCATGAAGCAAACCTTCCGTGCAAACCCGTAAGTGAAGACAGACAGTCAATGCGGTGAACTGATTATTAAAATAACATTAGTTTCTTATGACAACATTACCTGAAGGGGACCTCACAGCTATCTCTCTAACCGTCTTCCAAAATCCGGCGCCGTCAACATACTGTCTTACTTCTATCAATCCCTCCACGTACACTTTTGACCTGCAAAGAACACAATACAATAGACGCACAAAGAACAGAGTCACAAATTCACCACACAGCTCACGAAACCTGGTTGGGAACCTCATCAACCAAACAACGGGCCTCGTCGACCAAACAACTTGTTCTCGCCCTCCTCTTTTGTTGTTTCGGCTGCGATAATCACCGCTGGATATCGATATATACCATTTGAAAATCACAAGGATGCTTCATGGAGCAGCCTTGCTCTGTTTGCGAAAAACAAAACACAGGGCAAAGAAAACAGAGCTTGAAACGCCTTCTGAAGCGGCAATACGTCACACCGAAAAAGAAGAGAACTGAAGAATGATGAGTTCTATGTCAAGCTCTGGAACATAACGTCGCCAGGACTTTAACAACACTGCCATCATGACATCTTAATTATTCCCAACAGGAGAGAATGTGGTCAGGTAAGTCGAGCCTTTCCACAGCCACGTGTTAACCGGCAGATGCAAATAAAGTTCATGAACACACGATAGCAGGAACGGTGCTGCTGTTTTCCAAAAGGGCCAAGACTAAACCAAGTACTTTGTATCTACTCTTTGTGAGAGCGTCCATAGCAAATAATCAACTTTCTGGAGTTATCGAAGGATTTCCTCTCTCCCGCTCACCCCTCTGCACAGGGACCATGCAACCATCCTCGTTTCAATTTCAACGAATATCTGTCCAATTTGCACCTTTGCTGCTAGAACATCCATTAAAACTGTAGCAGAGCAACAATCAGCTATGAACCACAAATCTTCGCACCTTCGCAGTAGAGACAAAATGGTTGAGCACACACAGAGAGAGAGAGAGAGAGAGAGAGAGAGAGAGAGAGAGAGAGAGAGAGAGAGAGAGAGAGAGAGAGAG